CTGGTTAAGACTTATAAAACTACCAGAAACTAATATTTTAAATCAAGCTTATTTATATTGTCAAGAAATACATGAATTAGGGTTTAAATCATGGTCTGGAAAAGTTTATGATATTCTTCACAAATGTGAACTAACAGAGTATTGGGATGACCAAAGTCAAAATACAGACAACTTAGTAAACTTGGTTGACAAGAAACTAAAGAATGCATTTATAAATAATTGGAGAAATGATATTTTACAATATCCTATATTAAGAACATATAAGCTATTTAAGAAAGATTTTGAATTAGAACCATATTTAAAACTAGATAATAAAAAATATAGATTAGCAATAGGTAGATTTAGGTTAAGTTCACATCAGCTAAAAATAGAATCTGGAAGACACATAAAACCCAAACCTAAACCAGTTAATGAAAGGTTGTGTAATATATGTAAATGTGTGGAGGATGAATTTCATTTTATCATAAATTGTACAAAGCATTCTCAACACAGGCAAATATTTTTCAGTAAAATTTCTGAAATATTACCAACATTTGACTTGAATAGTAACGATATATTTATAAATATAATTTCTAATGATAATATCATCTTCCAACGACATCTTGGTAAATTTATATACCATTCATTTAACAATTTAGAGTAATCAGCAAAATTTGTGCATCACACTTTAAAATATTTTGCCTTTCTTGTATGCTTTCTGTAAATATATCAAATCATGTATATTTTTTATAAAGATGTAGTTTTAGTAAGTAGTTTAGTAGTAGATAGTAGTTTTAGTGAGTAGTTTATGACTAATGTAATCATGTTATGATACAATATGTCAATAAAAGTTATATAATTCATATATTGCAATATGTATTGATTCGGTGCAAATAGGAGTATAATCTTATTTTTTAAACATGTTGAACTGTCTGCTCTCTAACACGCTATAAATAACATACAGCATCTAATGATAAAAATAAACACTAGAATTAATTTACAATTTTATTTAACATATGTATTTTCGCATAACTGCAAATAGTACAATTTTAGAATTACATTTAGTTTTTGATTATATGTCTATTCAATCATGTTTAAATTTTCTGACATGCAATTGACTATTGTCTACCCTTTGCATTCGTTTGACTTCACTTCTTAAAAGAGAGCTTCGTCTTTAGTTTAACTAGACTCTGCACGCAGGGTAACTATTGTCACTGTATCATTCAAGGAGAAATGGCTCCCAGGGTTCCAAATCAATATTTTTTAATCTCCAGCAATTTTCAGTGTAGATTTCTACGGAAAAGTTTGCACAAATTAACTCCAAGGAGAATGGCAGATATTTTAGGGACCTTGACCTTGATTGATGAGAACAATGGTGTTATTTTCTGACATGATAACTGACTATGAATACATAATCAGTGTTCCAAAAAATTTGAACTAATATCCTGATCTCTACTTGTGTGTTTTGAAATTCTTTGTTGGGAAATAAGAGATTTAAATTCTGAAGGGAAAAATGGTGGATGTCTGATTTTGAATTTTGTAATCATGACGTGACTCCATTTTTGGCAGAATACTGAGTTGGAACCCTTGGAACCAATCCTTGGTTACCATCAATGAAGCAGAAGGGAAGTATGTTTACCTTTAACAAACAGTATACACTATTTTTTCATTTGTCAAGAATGCAAGAATGCCATTTAGAAAATTCCCAGAAACCTTACTTGGATAGTTTTGATTATACATGTACATTTGAAATCCTGAGAAAATACACTTTTAATTACTACTATTTGTATTTTTACCCCTCAATGTTTGTGCATTTAATAAAAGTAAATATAGAAACAGAAAAATGCAGCTTAATAATAAGAATTTAAGCAAATGTATTGCAAATGCATATTAAATTGTATCTGTATTTCTTGAAACATAATAAACTGCTCATTTTCTCCTAAGTATCCAATAGGCCTGTAAGGGCTTACAATACATGCCCATAAACAGGTATTTGACACAACCAAATGTATGTTGGATAACAATACAATTTCTCACACATCTCCAAGACAATAGAGTAAGTATGGCATTATATGAAAATTTGACTCCCATATACATGTGCATTGTGTTAGCCTTGCCAAAGTCGGTATTTTTACTTATCTGATCTTTGATTATTACTTAATTAATTGATAATAAAATCAAAAAAAGACACCGACTTGGGCAAGGCTAACATTGTGTCTATATACATGTATTCATATGATGATATTCACACAATAAGCATATCAATACCCCATAGTATACACATGAAAATAAATGTTACCCTTCAAAAAGCAAATGTGTCATGGTTAAGATAAAGACTATAAATGAATAAACAAAAGGAGCTCACAACCTCATGACGAACTATGATATACTAATAAAATATAAGAATACAGTACATGTATACCCTTATTGGAAAGCTTCGATGTTATACAATGTATGTATAACCCTTATTTACCAGTAGTATGTTAATCCCAGACATAAAACATAACTCTCTCCTTCACTGAATTATGCAGTCAACAACTTGTGAATATAATATTTGTGATGTGCAATATACTACATTAAAACAAGGGAATGTAATATTTCCTGACTAGTTCAACTGGAAATACATCAACTTGGAATATTTCTTGAAAATTGGCTCAACTGTCTCACGAATGAACTAAGACAGTGTAAAATAGAAATTGTAGATCACATTGTTTAATACTGCAGTCTAGGACACATGGCATTAATGAACATTATAGACTTCATGTTGTCATTTATGTTGTGTAATAAAATGTATTGCTTAAATTAACTGCCAGTTATATTAATCTTATTCATGACGCATCACAATTTGTGAAAATCTAGTACATAATTATAAGTTTTTTAAAATGTTTATCCAGCTAAAAGTAAGGTATACATTTAAAAGTGACATATTTATTTGTTAAGCTGCTCTGTTTATTTAACATAAAAATATGCGTGCACGAGTGAACAACGTGAAAACGGCAACTCTCAGGAGTAAAAAATCCCACTGAATAAACATAATAAAAATAAAAAAATAAACAGGAGATACTATTGTCTTATGGCAAAATCTTCGCCAATGAAAGGACATGACACCATATTAGATATATATTCTTCCTCCTATTTAAGTAGAGATCATATGCAATAAAATTTGGACTAAATCCAGTAACCGGTATTTAAGTTGTCAAGAAAAAAAAAATTTAAGTTGACAAAAGTTATGTTCTGTTCATGAAACATGGTGGCCATTTTTAATTTAGCAGCCATCTTGAAAATTCCTCCTTAAACAGAGTTCTATGCCCATAAAGCATTGGCGCATGATATCCTGATCAAATCTGACAACTGATATTTGATATTTTCTACAAATATATGGCAGCAGCTTTGAAGTGAATAGCAATATTGTAAATTCTACGACTTGAGAAGAGGTCCTCTTCCCATTGCTTTACAAAGCCTTTGTGAAAAATGATAAGTACATTCTTAATGATGATCCATTTTTGATCCATTTTTCACAGTACCCCTAATTGAACCTATTTCAAACTGAGCAGCAAATATCATTTTCACAGGAGTAGTCATGACTCATTTCTAAAGTTGAAGATACATCTAGAGAAAAAGTCTCTGATAAATCATATAGGAACATGTAAGAGAAGTTCATGAAGTCATTTTTTGAATTTTTGGTTTCCATAGCAACCATAAAATGTTAAGTAGTAAATGTACACTAATGAAATCTTGCTATCATATTGGACTAAAAATATTCGAGTAATGAAGAACTAAAACATTCAGAATATTCACAGTACATTACATATCTTTGAAATACTTCATAAGCATTGTACTTCTATATCATATCTTTAAAATACTTCATAAGCATAGTACTTCTATATCATATCTCTAACATACTTCATAAGCATAGTACTTCTATAGCACTGTGCATTAGATGGAAGTAAGACTTCTAAATGTCAATGAAGCTGACTCACTGTGGAGTAACTCTTCAAACTAGTTATTGGAACGGATCTGTTTTCGTAAAAAACATTGTTGTAGCATGTAAGATACAATTTTTTCTTTTTTCAAGGGATGTAGGCAGAATATTCACGACCTTTTTGGCACATATATGTGTCAGCATCATATGTTTATGAAAATCTATGTGAATGAATTGTTCACGAGGCGGCAGAATGATCAAAATAATTCCTCACTATCATTGCATAAACATAATGGTTAAAGTGCAGGTTTTAAGCATATCAACGATTCTGTCATCTCATGAATTATTCGTTAGCAAACGTTTAGATTTTCTAAAGCATATGATGCTGACACACGTTTTCCCCAAAAAGGTCGTGGAGATTCTGCCAACATCTCATGAAAAAAGAAAAATCCTACCTTTGAGGCTGCAACATTTTGTTACGAAAACTGACATTTTGAAGAGTTACTCCACAGTGTGATTCAGAATAAAACAACATTATAAAATATCTAGAAACATCCATTGTACAACTGCAGTAGACTCCTGTATATAATGTATTAAATTTAAGTATTTTGGTCCCCATAACCTTATTATATGACCCTTCAAGTAAATACATAAATATCTATCAACTTTACAGCATGAGTGAAAAATGTCACAGAATTTGCTTCTAATAATTTTGAATTCCATAGAAATTAAAATGGAAGATGGATTCTTTTCTCAAAGTTATTAGAAGTATATCTCCCGTGAAGAACATTTGTCTCTCAACCTGCACATGTAAATATACATAAATGTACATATAAATATACAGATACTCTAAAAGCAAAATATTTTTTCAATAAACATACACCCAACATGGGCTATATGGTACAATACATGTACATCATATAAATGTACATCACTTAATAGTGAATCACCATTTCTATTCTCTAGTCATATTTTTACACAGAAACCTCATCAATATTTACTAAAATAAAATGTTATTTCAGACTAATAATTGGAAGATGTATATAATTTGGTATCAAACTCTCTTGATCTTTTTGCAAGCACTTATATGTTGATATGACTGAAGGTTGATTATTGGCACTAATTCTAGGTCGAAGCAATAATCACTAACACAGGAACTACCAGAGTCCCAACAGGACTTAATATCAGAGAGGATAGAAAATATCCCTTAGTATTATAACACAAAAGTATTAGAGCAACTAGGAATATTTGTGAACATACTACTATGCATTTGCCTATCTGTCCTTTGTTAGACTGAGGAACTCTTCTCTTGTTTTAGGATCCTCACGTACAACTCCTAACATTGTGCTGGTTATAGTCCTGCTATTCAGCTTCTGGACCCCCCTCATCACCATACACATGTGTCTGTAAAAATCAATTGAATTTGTACCTAAAGTTAATCATCAGTTTATCATTTAGCATCTGCATGATTTTGAAGTGAATCTAAAGTTTATCTCATGCATTAGATCTCTTTACTTATTGGTAAGTGAACAAAAATATGAGCCACTCTTTTCAATAATCTCGTCAGGATTGAAATGATTTGGAGATAAAACATTTTCAGTCTTGGTGAGCTCATAAGTCAAGTCATTTTAGAAATGCTTTGACGTCATCTTTAGAATATCCTCCAATGACAACCCTAATGACAATGCAGATTAATTCTAAGCATTTTATTAGTGATACAAATATTATAGTTTTGCCCTGCGACTGAAAGTATGGAATATCCCAAAATTAATCTGCTCTAGAAGTGGAACACATCTGTTAGTGGAACACTTTTCAGAGTGCCAAGACCAACTGACTTAATGTTTAATGAACCTCTATAAGTTGAACACCTCACAAGTGGAACACTTTTTAGAGGTACCAAAGGTGTTCCACTTATTAGGTTTGACTATATTTTGAAATGAGTTAACTTTGTTATCATTAGTTTATGACAGAGACCAAAATTTCTTTATCTAAAATATCAAGTTTGTGGACAGGTGAAATTCCCACAATATAAATTGAAGTAAAGGACATTCATAGGTTGCATTCTACTAAATGTATTATATGAGACTATTAGGCACTTACGAAGCTTCAATGATCACCCCTACTCCTGTTGGCTGGATTGCCTCAGTAATTGCTACAGCTATTTGCTTTGTTAGCCTTTCTTGAACTGGAAATAAAAGTATACGAAATAAATAGTCCATCGAACAGTTCTCAATTGCAAACATGGTTCAACTTAGCAGCACTTTTATGAATTTACATCCTAAACACAGGTTTACATCCTAAACATAGGTTTACATCCAACACACATCTACAACCTAACCACATGTCTACATCCTAAACACAGGTTGACATCCCAAACACACATCTACATCCTAAACACAGGTTGACATTCAAAACACACATTTACATCCTAAACACAGGTCTGCATCCCAAACACACATCTACATCCTAAACACAGGTTGACATTCAAAACACACATTTACATCCTACACACATATCTACATCCTAAACACAGGTTGACATCCCAAACACACATCTACATCCCAAACACACATCTACATCCCAAACACATATCTACAACCTAACCACATGTCTACATCCCGAACACATATCTACATCCTAAACACATATCTACATCCCAAACACACATCTACATCCTAAACACACATCTACAACCCAAACACACATCTACATCCTAAACACATATCTACATCCTAAACACAGGTCGACATCCTAAACACACATCTACATCCTAAACACATGTCGACATCCTAAACACACATCTACATCCTAAACACATGTCGACATCCCAAACACACATCTACATCCTAAACACATATCTACATCCTAAACACAGGTTGACATCCCAAACACACATCTACATCCTAAACAAAGGTTGACATCCCAAACACACATCTACATCCTAAACATAGGTTTACTTCCTAAGCAACACTCATCTACATTCTCAACACGGGTCTACATCCTTGACACATGTCTACATCCTCAACATGGGTCTACAACCTAAACACAGGTCACAGGTCTACAATCTTAAGCATGGGTCTACAGTCTGAACACAGGTTTACATCCTAAATACATGTCTACAGGTTTACATCATAAACACAGGTCTACATCCTTAGCATGGGTCTACAACCTGCACCTATATTTATGTCACCTGCACCTATATTTATGTCACCTGCACCTATATTTATACCAATCACTAAGGTGTTGAAATAAGCACTTTTTTAATATTTGCAAGTATAATTGTAACTAGAAAATGGCAACTCCATGGAGTAGCAAATCCCAACGAACACTATATAAATCATCAATCTGTACAGTCAGAATGTAATATTTACCATCTACTCTTACCTTCAATAAATATTTTAAATCATTGTAGTAGCATGTAACCATACTTTCAAGATAACTCTAAGTAATGGCGAATTTCTGCTCTAGTCAGCCATTTTGAATTTTCAGAGGCCCAAATCAGAAAAACAATGCCATAATTGTGATCTACTCTGAAATTCCTTCAATTTGAGTAAAATATAGCCATACTTTTAGGAGATCAGAAAATAATTGCGAAATCCCGCATTAGGTAGCCATTTTGAATTTTTCCAGGCCCGAATCAGAAAAACGCTACAATAATTGCAATCTAGTCTAAATTGCCTTTCATTTGAGTATAATAAAGCTATACTTCAAAAACATCTCAAAATTAACGCAAATTCCTGTTTTTCAAACCCCCCATTTACAGCCCCTGGTGGTAAGGGTGAAAACCCAGGATATATGTGAAATAGAGAGATGTTCAAATAAAAATATTTCTTATTATGGTTTGCTGATGATGGGACAAGTGCATACAGTAACACCAAAGTATGTTTGTCAAAAGTCGTATATCTGAGAAATCAGTGACTTCCAAGAAAGGTTGGATGACAACTGGGAATAGACCAGCGACATCTGGATAGTCAGAAGACAGTTGGAAAGACAACAACCGGGGCAAATTGGGTCAGCAGCCCGAAATGCAGCTTCTGTGAAGAAGCAACCCACACATCAAGCTACGTCACAACTTAAAGAAAAACACCCTCAAGATTGCCCGAGAGGGGGGGAGGATGAGCAATCTACACAAACAGAAGGAATACAGAATATCGACTTAGCACGCCCAAGGACAAGGACATTGAACAGAGGCAGAATATGCAGTTGCGGCAAAGAATGCAAAAACGACAGAGGACTTAAAATTCACCAAGGCAAGTCGCGGTGCCAGTCTCAGTCGGAGATGGAACAGCGCTCAGGGACACCTGATAAGACGAAGGAGGGGCCAGGCCAGGACAAAAACCACAGTGCCAGGAACGTCCAAGTTCCAAAGACGAATGAGACTGCCAAAGCTAAAGAAGAGAGACTCCAGAGGATTAAATGGCCTAATGCCACAAAGAAAGAGGAATGGAGTAATCTGGATGAAGACTTAGAATCAATTTTGGAGTCTTCTCTAAGTGGACCAGTTGAAAAGAAGATACAAGCCATGACAACCATCATATACTCAATTGCATCAGACAGATTTGGAGTCGAAGAAAAATGCCATTTAAAATCACATACTGTTAACATTAGTAGAAGACAGAAGGATATTAAAGAGGTGAGAAAGCAACTAAAAGATCTGAAGAAACGGTACAAACATGCTGGACCTGTAGAGAGAAACGCACTTAGCGAACTGAGAGATATAGCCAGATGTAAACTCAAAACATTAAGAAGAGCAGAATATCACAGGAGACGTAGAAGAGAACGCTCGAAGAGAAGAGCATCTTTTACAAAGGACCCTTAAGGATATCAGGAGAAACGAGGAATTAGGGGAGTGTGACTTGATACTAGAATACCCACCCCCAACTAAGGAATTTAATCTGAAGGAGCCAACTTTCAAAGAAATTAAAGATATCGTGTATCATGCTAGGGCCTCATCTGCTCCAGGGCCAAGTGGAATACCATATAAGATATACAAGCGATGTCCAAAGTTATTAACACGATTATGGAAGTTGTTGAAAGCAGTTTGGAGGAAAGGCTATACAGCCCCACAATGGAAAACAGCAGAAGGATGTTTTATTCCCAAGGAAGATGAATCGGAAGCTGTAGGTCAATTTAGGACCATTTCTCTTCTCAGTGTGGAGGGAAAAATATTCATGGCCGTTGTGGCCAGACGTATGACTTCGTTTCTGATAGAAAATGAATACCTTGATCTATCAGTACAAAAAGGAGGAATCCCAGGAATGTCGGGATGTATAGAGCACACAGCTATGGTGACACAACTTATCAAGGAGTCAAGAGAAAGTAAAGGTGACTTAACAGTGCTGTGGTTGGACCTAGCAAATGCTTATGGTTCCTTACCCCACAAGTTAGTAGAGTTCACAATGATGAGTTACTACATTCCAAAGAAGATACAGAAGATGATCTTAGATTATTATGACAACTTCAAGATGAGATTTTCTACAAAGCAGTTTACTACAAATTGGATCAAGTTAGAAGTAGGAATAGTGACTGGATGTACACTTTCTGTTATATTGTTTGCAGCAGCAATGAACCTACTGGCAAAATCAGCAGAACAGGAATGCAGAGGGCCAACAACAAGCTCTGGTACTAGACAGCCACCCATCAGAGCATTCATGGATGACTTAACAGTAACAACCAGGGGAGTCATGGGAGCAAGATGGATACTCAAAGGACTAGAAAAGATTATCAAGTGGGGCAGGATGAAATTCAAGCCAGTGAAATCACGCAGCCTAGTACTGAAGAAAGGGAAGGTAGATGGAAAATTCAAGTTCAACATAGATGGACAGGATATACCAACAGTTACAGAAAAACCAGTGAAAAGCTTAGGGAAAGTGTTTGATGCATCACTTTCAGACAGGAAGAGCATAAGGGAAATGGAGGACCAATTAGATACCTGGTTCAAACTGGTAGATAAATCAGGGCTACCGGGAAAATACAAGGCATGGATATACCAGCATGGAATACTACCTCGAATATTATGGCCACTTCTCGTGTATGCAGTGCCAATGACAACAGTGGAGATGTTAGAGAGGAAAACAAACAAATACCTACGGAAGTGGTTCGGAGTACCAAAAAGCTTCAGCAGCTCAGGATTTTATGGAGAATCAAACATGCTTCACCTACCGATCAAATCAATGACAGAAGAATACAAGGTAACCAAAGTCAGGAAGATTGTGATGATAAGGAATGCCAAAGACACCAAGATTTCAAAGAGCAGCACCCATGAGAAAACAGGAAGGAAGTGGAATGCTGAAGAGGAGCTAACAAGAGCAGAGGACAGGCTCAAGCAAAAAGTTTTAGTAGGGCGGGTAGCCAAAGGAAGACAGGGCTTAGGATTTGGCTCAAAACCACTATGGAATGAAGCAACAGACCGTGAAAAGAGAGATCTGATCCAGCTAGAAGTAAGAGAGAGCCTCGAGGAAGACCGAAGAGTTAAGGCTATTGAGATGAAGAAACAAGGTAAATGGATGAAATGGGAAGGCGTTAGAGAAAGGAAACTAACTTGGAATGATTTATGGAAGGAGCAGCCACAAACTATTAGTTTTCTGCTTAAAGCAACATATGACGTCTTACCTACACCATCCAATCTAGTCACTATGGGGCTAGCAGAGACAGCAGAGTGCCCATTATGCGGGGCAGTATCAAACCTAAAACACATCATGTCAGCCTGTAGGAAAGGATTAGCAGATGGAAGGTTCAGGTGGAGACATGACCAAGTCCTGAAGGAGTTAGCACAGGTCATTGAGACAGAGAGGAGGAAAAAACACAAGAAACTAGGAACCCAGTATATCAACTTCATCAAAGCAGGAGAAGCCATAACAAAGGAAATAAGGAAACCTACTGGAATTCTACACACAGCAAATGACTGGACCCTCATGGTGGACCTAGAGAAACAGCTAAAATTCCCGGAGGAAGTAGTGGAAACCTCACTAAGGCCAGACATAGTGTTGTGGTCAAAATCATCAAAGCATATAGTGCTAATAGAACTAACAGTGCCATGGGAGGAAAACATACAGGAAGCTCAAGAAAGGAAGCGAGAAAAATATGCAGAATTAGTGGAGCAGTGTAGGAACAAGGGATATACAGCCAGATGTGAACCGGTAGAGGTTGGCTGTCGAGGGTTTGCAGGACAATCCCTCTGGAGAACATTAGGACTATTAGGAATAAATGGCAATACAAGGAAGCAAGCAATTGGAAGTATTACAAAAATAGCAGAGAAAGCATCAAAATGGCTCTGGATCAAAAGAGCAGATGACTGGAAAACAATTAAACATTACTAATAGAAGTATTTAGCTTGAGAAGCACACACTTGTCCCACACCACTTTGGTGGGGTCACCTGGTAGAGTTATACAATGTTGAAAGACCCGAAATAACAATGAAACCAGGCACATTGCTGATGATGGGACAAGTGCATACAGTAACACCAAAGTATGTTTGTCAAAAGTAAAATGAAAAAACATAAGAATTTTGTGAAAAATTCCCGCCATTTTTAAACTGGTGGCCATCTTGAAAAAGTTTTTTTGCGTAAAACCATTCACCAATACACATCTTTCCACCAAATATGAAGAAAATCTGTCCACTAGTACTCGAGTTATCTTCTGGACAGACGGACGGACTGACTGACGGACAGGCAGACGGACCGAGGGCTTCACTATATCCCTACAGAACTTCGTTTGTTGGGATAACTATTTGTAGTGATACAAGCTTTTTAAAACAGACCTCTAGGTTTTATTTTGCTTCTTCTAGCAAAGTGGAGCCAAATAAGATTCAAGGTCCCATGCAAAGTTTGAAATACAGTTAATCATTAAAATAATATGATTATATAAGCAAAAGTGGTTTAAACTTTATTTGGGGGCTTTAAAAAGTATTCCTTTGCAAATACGTGTACATCCCTATTGTACAAATTAAAGTGATTAGCTTTGTAAATATATTTTCTTGTGTATTATTGAATAGCATACCATTGTTTAGGATATTAAATTCCTTTCTAATGGTATATAATACTATGTTGAATTGATTCAGTGTAATGCTCTTACCCTGAAGTCTCCTGCTATAAACTTCAACTATTCTGAAAATATACAACAAATCAACATAAATATGCAGTACGTATTGAACTGTATGCATATCACTTATTTGAATAAAAATTACTGTACTTTATCAATTTCAATATCACTACCAGTATAATATTGTTACCATTTGAATAAATAGAAAGAAATATGCAGCTTTCCTAACTAACACATTGCTTTCCTTGTTTAGCCATTTCACACTTAATGATTCCCTACCTTTTCTCCGTATACCAGTGTCATTTTTAGTATACAGTAAATTTATTCAATTTTAAGTTGTCTTAATGTCCCCTTTCAGCCAATCACATTCTTTGGATTACATCATGTGGCAAATGAAAATATTACAATTTTAAACAAGGCATTAACATGCAAAAATGTCACCACCTGCCATTTGTTACAGATGCTGACTGCCGAATGCTGAACATAAACCACAAAACACTGACTGCTGAACATCATCCATAAAAAAAATTGGAGACCATAACAATATGTCACCACTTCTTGTGGCGACATATAAATGAGTACAAAAGTAAATACAGTGTATGGAGGAGTAAGGCATATGAGACAAGTTAAATAAAAGTATTCCCTGTTTGACAGTTATATATTTTTGATGTTGAATGCCAGTTATCATACTCCTCATTGGTCCATATAGCAAGATGAAGCAAACTAAAATTAGTCTAAAATGGTGGACTTTTCTCTCAATTCTGGGTGTATTGAACTAGTTATTCAATGATTCAAGTTAATCATTATTGGAAGTATTGAACTAGTTATTCAATGATTTAAGTTAAGTATTATGGATGTTATCATAAGTCTAGTTCCAATCCAAACCATTAAAACACAGAATTTGTAAAGCACTTCTAAAGTAGCACAATTAAAAGAAGCCAAAACAAAGCCAGGGGCAAATACAATTTCCCTTATTAAACATTTCTATGAAATGTACTTAAAAATAATTTTGTGGTTTTGACAATACAACCATGCATTATGTGAAAAATAATTCCTTATGTTGAATTCACCATATTTCAGGACCTTCTAATCTACCAAAATCATACCAACTTATATTCAACTCTAAATAGATTTGAAAGGTTTGCAAGATTTGTTGATGCAATTTACTTCTGTACTTTGTTGCTTTGTTTTTAATGCTTGGGGCCAAATGAACTAACTGTTGCTATTAATACTGAAAAGGCTATGAAAAGAGGCCTGATGAAAAGAGGGCTGGTAGGGAGAGAGGGCTGGTGAAAAGAGGACTGGTTAAGAGAGGGCTGTTGAAAAGAGGGCTGGTTAAGAGAAGGCTGTTGAAAAGAGGGCTGGTTAAGAGAGGCCTGTTGAAAGGAGGGCTGGTTAAGAGAGGGCTGTTGAAAAGAGGGCTGGTTAAGAGAGGGCTGTTGAAAAGAGGGCTGGTTAAGAGAGGGCTGTTGAAACGGGGGCTGGTTAAGAGAGGGCTGGTGAAAAGAGGGCTGGTTAAGAGAGGGCTGGTGGAAAAGAGGGCTTGTGAAAAGAGGGCTGATGTAGAGGTTTGACTGATGAAAGGAATCAGATGCAAGAGGACTGATGAAAAAAGGGCTCGAGAAAAGAGGGCCAGGGGGAAAAGGGCTAAAGAAAAGAGGGCTAGTGAAGATGGTTGATAAAAAGAGGGTTGATGTAAAGAAGTCTTAAAAGAGAGGATTAATTTCAAGTAAAAAAGGTGGATTAGATGACAAAAATTAATCAATAATGAACATCCAATAAAATTAATGGTTTTAATATGCCCCTTAGTTGGCCCTGTCTTTTTTTGTGGAAGACACAAACTGACCCTTTTGATAAAGGACTAGTTATTGGTTTTGGGAGTTTGAGTTTCCTCCCAAAATTTTTCACCCACAAAATAATAAATGGTTCCATTAAAATAATGTCAACAATGTATGTGAAGTTGCAGTGCAGTCTTACCTGGCTAATTTACTTAGTCCTAGTACTCGTTTGTTTGGAATGTAACCGATTGATACCTGAAAGTATAGTAATATACTCGATGTTTACAAAAAATATATAATTATAAATTATAGTTATACGAATGCGTCTTAAAATTATGTGTGTGCTTTTAGTGCATGAGACATACATTTACTTCTACTTTACTGGAATAAATCAATTTCTAAATTGATCATCAATTTTGAAAAATAGCACCTTGATAAATGGAAGCAAAGACTAGGTCAGGATTATTTATTTCAATATAGGTCATACTTAATCACAATTTTAAGAGTTCTTAAAGAATATACATCTTTTATTGTGCATAATGACTTTCTGGCTTTAGGAGCTTTACATAAAGGTTTCTAACTGATCTGCTAACTGATCCTTAACTCAACCCACCTAAATATTATTATAAAATTTCAATACCTTGCCTATAAATGGGACTAAATGATGTTCGCACATTGAAAACATCTCTATATCTTTCACTATCACCATCTCATCGTGGTCCTCGTCAAATATAGCATCATTAAGCACATCTGCAAGAATACAAATTTTAATCATTGAGCACATCTGCAAGAATACAAATATTTTCATCATTCAGCTCATCTACAAGAATACAAATATTAATCATTGAGCACATCTGCAAGAATACAAATATTTTCATCATTCAGCTCATCTACAAGAATACAAATTTTAATCATTGAGCACATCTGCAAGAATACAAATATTTTCATCATTCAGCTCATCTACAAGAATAAAAAAAATTTTCATCACAAAGCACAACTGCAAGAAAAAAATCTGTAAGAATACAAATTGCAAAAACAAACTGCATTTGCAAAGCTGTAATTTCAACTGCACATGTAGTGGATATTCAAAAAATCATGAAGATATGTGTACATGTATAACATTTTGTGAAACACCAAGTTTTAGAAAACCAAATACAGATAAAAGAATATCCACATTACAGTATGTTTTCGGCTATTGAGAATTACACCAACGGTTAAGGGCAGATCTGCCCCCCCCCCCTATGATATCAGAAATGATCAATCAAAGGAGGGTGTGTTAGGTATCATAAGAAAGATTATTTGATTCCCAGTATTTTGAGCTTACTCATAACTATATTGAGCCATTATTGATGAAGAAATTCATATTCTAAGAACATAGGGGTTATGGTTTCAAGTCAAAACTACTGACAATTTGGGTATTTCCAAACTTTCTCTAACTTTCCTCTAAAACATGCCTAATAAAATTTTTTAATTAGCCAGAAAATTTGAGATCAAAAGTCAAGCTACGAAAAAGAGTTATCAAAATATTCCTTAAACCTGCACATCGCTCCAAAACGCAATATGTTGACATATATTGTTTTTACATTTTTAAGCTCTAATATAAAGTTTATGTAAATAAAAATTGTTTTTTCTGCGTAATATCAAAGAACAATCATTTAGTTAAAAAAATAAAAAGGCGATTGCGGGATTCGAACCCGGGCCTCCCGCGTGCTAGACGAGAATTCTACCGCTACACCACGGCGTTATTATGAATGGTGGAAGTAATTAAAAGCTACTTATTTTGAATGCTATGATTCGGAAGTGACGTCACGTTCTTCATTTAGAAACCTTTCCAAAATGATATCGTCGGCGCCGATCGAAGCAATTCAATGAAAAATCTTTAAAATGACACATTTATCGTAAGTATTTCTACACAAGATTTGCCCCATTTGTTCATCATTCTATAATCTTTCATTAAGCTCAAAATGATAAAGTCCACCCCCGAAACAACCCAAGATTGCGTTTTGGAGCGATGTGCAGGTTTAACCATTTAAGGGTTAAGGTGCCATGGAAGTTAACAGGAAATGACGAAACAGGAAGTGACAAAAAAATTTGCATTTTTAGACATTTTTTGAACAAAGATAACAGAGTTCTGGTTTGACCTCCAGTCAATTTAAATATTTCCACATATCATTTACATGACCAGGATTACAATCTTCATGGTCAGAATGACCCTAAACATGATGAAATAACCTTTTTAGCCCTTTGAAAGTGTGACTGAAAAAAGATGGTCTAACTGATACAATCTTTGAAAATTGAGAAAATTGTCTTAAACAAAAATGGCCGTCATAAATAGGAAAATAGATCGCTTTTCAAATCAGTTTTTCATTTTTTTTTTCTATGAATGATATCAAATTTTCAAAGATTGTATCATTTAGAGTAATATATTGGGCACATTTTTCTGAAAAATTCAAAAGATTCTGTTCAGTGACCTTTCCTACCTCCTTCTTTTAGCTATTTTTCAGTCACATTTTCAGAGGGCTGAAAAGATTATTTCATCATGTTTAGGGTCATTCTGACCATGAACATTGTGATCCTGAACCTGTAAATGGTATTTGGAACTAGTTGAATTGACTGGAGGTTAAAACAGAACTCTGTTATCTTTATTCAAAAAATATCTAAAAATGCAAAAGTTTTTGTCACTTCCTGTTTTGTCATTTCCTGTTAACTTCCATAGCACCTTAACAAAACTGGAGACATAACAGCCTTTTATCACTGGGTGAGATTGGAAGATTTGTCATATGTTGGGATCAAATCATTAATTTTCACAATTTATCTTTGGATGTTATGTTTTATCAAAGATCATCTGTTTTACGAGATAAGTAAGTCATAAGTCTAACGATGTCAGGAGTAAGAAGCTATTAAAATAAATATCAAGGCATTAAAAAATTCCTCAAGGCTTTAAAAGACGTCCTGACCTTGTATAACCAATGAGTTACAGTACTTTTTCACCTTTCAAATTCACTCACTTTATTGATCTATTTTTAAGGTCAGGGAGCATGTTTGGAATTTTGCTGCAACCCTCAAGAGTGTCACATGTTATTTTTCAAATTTGAATCACTCCTTCCCCACAATGTCTACGTACATCTATCACTTTTCACAACGAGTGCACTAATGTACCTAGAAAAGAATGTAGGGAAGAATGTTTTGATACAATGTATAAAAAACAAGAAAAATCAGTAAAAAAATTCAGAAATTTTCAGAAAATCTTTTCACTGATTTTTCTCATTTTTTATACATTTTACAGGGTACACCCCAGTTGTCCGATACCCAGTTCTCCGCAACCCAGTTGTCCGAAACCCAGTTGTCCGAAAACCAGTTGTCTGAAACCCAGTTGTCCGAAATCCAGTTGTCTGAAACCCATAACTCCGAAAAATATAGTAATAATTTACCAGAGAAAGGGGGGACGTTTTTAAGCTTAGGCCAGTTTCATGCCATGTATTTGGCCAAATTAATGGCATGGACGCATTCTGATGATCATAAATCTCTCACTTTGAATTGCATCCTTTGCATGGCATTACCAGAATGGCAGGTACGGGGGATTTATTTTACATTGAGATTCTAAAAAAGGTTAACAAAACACAATATATATTACGGACCAGTTTATCTATCTTCTTCAATCTCTTTTATATAGGCAAAATAAAATGAAACATTTTGAAACAGATAAAATAAGTTAATGCATAGAACTTTAAGAATAAGAAAGAAGAAGTTTTAAGAAAGAAGACATTTTAAGAAACAGTATACATATTACGTTGTCAAAATATTTTGTCGCATTTTAATTTCTTAGTACCTGTCTCTTATCAAATTGTAAAAGAACAAAACATTCTAATCTTAATCACTTGGGATCAACTGGAAACGAAGATAGGTTGTCCTCGTATCAAAATGGATGTTCCCCCATTCGCAAGAAGTTTCATTTTCGCCATGTACTCACTTCATACCTTTGAATTTAATCTCTATTTCTCGAACAGAGTACATGTATGTAAGTAAAGAATAAGTTTTGGTTTCAAAAGATGTACATGTCAACTTTACTAAATAAATGCCCACTGGCTTGGGAAAGCTATTTTCCCTTTTATGATCGCCCATCATCCATTGGAAAAATGTTGTTCCCTCTCAAAAAAGGCTCATAGGCCATAAAGAAAATTAGTTTAAAAATTGTACACCCCTATGTATGTTAGGTAAACGCCACTTTGCAATGAGAATAACATAATTTAACTTTGTTTGTTTGAACATCTGTATCACCTGTATAAGCCCTTGTACATGTACTTTTATCTTTTGACAGTTTTATTAAATACCAGTCCATAAAGGAATTGTTCAGTTGATGAAATTTACTCTCAAAACGAGCACTGGAAGATGTAGGCAATTAATGTGGGGAAGGAGTGACTCCTGTTTGAAAAATAGTACCATGGGTACTGGGCTCACATGGTGTTGCTCAAAAGTGAATGATGGCTAAAATGGCAGAAAAAAATTATTTCACATAACTACTTTTTACAGTGACATGGCTTTTTACAATGCAGGACACCTGAAATTATTTGTAAAGCTAGGAAATAGGCCACAAGTGAAGTTTGCGTGTCCAAAATGGCAGCCATTATGAAAATAGGCAAGCTTTTGAACCAGGAGTCATAGGGGAGTTTTCTGTATTGATATTGAACAAAAATAACTTAAAACGGGAATCCTATTTTAAGGCAAATGGTCCAAAAGTGGATTTCGTGAGAGAGATGGACAAATCAATGTTAACTAAAATGGCTGAAAAAAACCCAGATATAACTTTTTGCCTATTTTTTGTAACAAACGTGTGTCACGTTTTAAGTCTTTAGGTTCTTATTATCTACTCAAAACCACAAAAAAGTAGGCAAAAATATGTGATAATTTGCTGATATCACACCAATGATTGTTTTAAGTATGGTTATGTATGAAGTTCACAGATCCTTCAGTATATATCACATATCACGTTTCTTCGATCGCTCTGAGATTAAATCTACACGACTTTGCGTATCATATCCATCTGTCGTAGGTGCTACTGTATCCCAATATGATATATATATATCTTTTATTTACAACTGTAGTTCTCGGATCACACTGCCAATATACATGTCGTTTATATCAGTTAATTTCATTTATTGTTCATCGATCATATATTCACGCTAGTATATCATCTATTGTTCATCAATCATGTACGCTAATGTATATCATCTATGTTTCACCAATCATATATTCACGCTAATATATGATATATTGATCACCAATCATCCTATTGTTCACGATTCATATATGCATGTTATCTATTGTTCATCAATCATAAATGCATGCTAATATATCATCTATTGTTCCCCAATCATATGCACACTATCTGTTGTATGCGTCTTATTATTTACATCACATGTCATATTTATGCATTGAATATCTATTGTTCACATAACACTCTGCTATATCACTTATAATATCTATTTTAAATGTTCACAATTGTTCACATAATGCACCCCACTGTAGAAGACTGCCTGATTTTAACACTACGCTTACTGATAACATCTGATATAATGTAAGATTTTGGTTGCACCTGACCTACTTAGCTATTCACTCTCTAACTGTTTATATCACTCTGACCCAACTGTGTAACTCTTCTCAATACATTAATTAGTTGAGTTTTCAATTAAGTGTACATATCTAAAAAATACAGTCTAAAAACATACATTGATTATTTGGCTAGTTTATTT